TCTATTTATCTGTCTTCAATTTCACTGATAGTTTTCTCCTGAAATCCCTTACTAATTTAATTTCAGATATTGTATTTTTCAGTTCTAGGATATCCATTAGGTTCACTTTTAATGTCCATATATTTTCTGAAATTTCCTATATCTTTACTCATCATATCCATTTTTTTCCTATTAATTCTTTAATATATTTATATAGTCATTTTAAACTTCTTGTTTGCTAATTTTAGTATCTGGTGTGTCTGTGTGTCCACTTTTTTGTTTGTTTGGTGAAGAAGATTGACCCTGAGCTAACATCTGTTGCCAATCCTCCTCTTTTTGCTTGAGGAAGACTGGCCTTGAAGTGACATCTGTGGCAATCTTCTTCTATTTTGCATGTGGGTTGCCTCCACAGCATGGCTTGATGAGTGGTGTAGGTCCGTGCCTGGGATCTGAACCTGCAAACCCCAGGCCACCAAAGTGCAGTGCGCAAACTTAACCACCACACCACCAGGCTGGTACCCCTCTGTGTCTGCTTTTATTGACTGATTTTGCTTTTGAATATAGGTCACAATTTCCTGCCTCTTCATATGTCCAGTAATTTTGATGGTACATTGAATGATATCTTGTAGAGACTTTGGATCTGTAGCCTTCTTCTGAAAAATGTTAATTTTGTTCTAGCAAGCAATTAAATTGCTGGTGGACCCATGTGACCCTACAGAGGCTTTGTTTTCAGTTTTGTTAGAGTGGCTATAATTCAATTTTTCTCTCAGTTCCAAGACATAGACTTTTGTCTTGGGAATGGTTCTTATTACCAACAATGTGACCCTTCTGGAATATCAGTGACAAACGCTAGATTTCTAAAGTCCCCTAATTAGGCAGGACTTGAATTCCAAACTACGTCTCCCCAACACTAGGCAGCTACTGAAATTCCTGTTCGGTATTTTAGCCTTCCAACTCTTGTTTTCTGCCGAGTTAATTAGAGTCTCACTCTATATGTATGCAGCCAAATTTGGGGAGAGTTCACATGCAGATTAGGAGGTGACCCATTCTGTGGTTTCATCCTTTCATGCACTTACCTATTCTCACCAATTTCTAGCAGCCCTGAACTTTGACCTCAGACTTCTATTTGAGCAAACTGGGAAGTGGGAAAATCCAGTTCAATGTGGATCTCATCCAGTGTGCTTCTATTCTTGAAAATATAATATCACCCCTTGTCTCTTCTTGCTTTTCATTGATATAGAGAGACATGGAAATAGACATAGATATATAGATATATTTGTATTTCCAGAGTTTACAATTGTTATTGGCAGGAGACTTAGTCCAATATACACTATTCTGCCACACAACCATCAGAATTCTGGCAGTTGAATGGATGAATCTTGATTTCAGGAAAGAATTCTGAGCAGAAATATAAAAATTAATATTTATCAATAGGAGAAACAGTCTAGGAAAGTGCTTCTCATTATTGGTTTCACATTAGAATCACATGACAAAATTTAATAATCTATTTGGCCTGACTACCCCAAATCAACTAAATTAGAATCTCTGGGGGTTGGATCCAGGTATCAGTAGTTGTTAAAGCTGCCCAGGTGATTTAAATTTGCACCTAGAATTGAGAGCCACTGATCTCAAAAGAGGACGAAGTATGAGAAGGAACAACCAGAGCAAGATAGTGTCATGAAAGCCAGAGAGGAGAGTGTTTCTCTAAGCAGGAAGAAGTCATCAAATGTGTTAAATGCTCAGGTAAGTTGAGGACTGAAAGGCAATAGTATTTTGCAATGTGGGATTTTTTTGGTGATTCACACTCCAAAAAAGAAGGCAAAAGTTTTCAATATTAATTGTGATCAAAGTAAATGCACAGGGTTGGTATATATATACCATGTCTCAGCTGTGAAAACAAAGAAAATTTTATTTCTGTAACTGCTCTCATCCAGCTCTTGTCATCAATTCTTGCATCGTCATGAAAGAAAAAATTAAGCTGCCTACTGTAGCTCTCTCTCTTCCAGTTTCAAACAGGATCTTTCAAGTTGTCAGCCTCTTTGAGATAGTTAGTAATGGCCATAAGTTGAATCACTTCTGCCTTTTTCCCTTTTTCTGTGTGTATGTGATAGAGGTTGGGGAGACATAAGTTCCTGGGTAACATGCATATATCTGGGGTGTTAGGGTTAAAGAATGGTGGATGTCCTATGAGTCGTCACTAACTTCCTTACATGTCCATCACCCACCAAATCACTGGGGAAGATACTGTTTGTTGGGTTGCTTGTACTTGCACCTGCTGTTGAAATCTGAGGTTATAGATAGAGTCTCTGGCTTTGAGGCCCACCAAATCTGTATTCCTCTCAACCAAGCTCCAAGCCACTATTGCCTTACTATTTCTTCATTATTAATTCCCCATGTATATCTGAAACCAAGCTGAAGTTTTTAAATAAGGACTTGTTAAAGGTGAAACTTTAGTAATGATAAAAGAGAATATAGCAAGTAACATGTACGTTGTTAGATTGTAGAAAAAAATATTAAAGCATTTATATGAGAAATCTAGATTCAAGAGATCAAGACTTAGATATCCAATAGGAGTTATGCCTCTTACCTAAGTTTCGCCTTAATAAATCATTTTCTGTTATCTTCCTGGTCCCTTATCTTAGGAACTGCCTATTACAAAGATAACTGACTCTGATTAGCCTTTTAGGGAGATCACCCCTTCATACAATCTATCAGAATATAATAATTCCAATACACATAAAAAAGATGAACACACAGTATCAAGTGGCTCATTTTCTTCAGTTTCAAAAAGGAAAATATAAAAATACACAAAATAGTGTTAGAAAATACAAAAATGACTGAAAACAGTTAAAGTGATAAAATTGAATATATAAATTTTGAAAGCAAAACATACATTTTTATTGGAAATACAATTGAAGTGAGAGACACAAATAATTTGAATAATTAGTAAGTATGAAAACACAATGCACATTTTTTCAAGGATTCAGAGATTATGAAAATTACATGTTTTGCTTCAAAGGAAACACATAAAGAATCTGAGACTCAAACTAATTGGTTTGTGTCAGCATTCACTTACTGAATATCTACTTCCCGTTTGTGGGGACTCTACTTGCAAGTGAGTCTTTATAAGACTGATAGATGTGGGAGCTCCAGGTGCTAACTATGGAGCTGAGACAAACAGAATACTGTAGTTGACTAGATGGCCCGAGGTCTATACCTGAAAAACATTCTTAAGTCTTAGTCTAGGGGGTAAGTGAATGGCTGTACTAAGAGAAAAAAGAATCAAGGAATGCAGAGGAGCAAGTTCAAACAATTACAATGAATTGAAATTATCTGGAAACTTACTGCTAAAAATGTGGTCCCCAGACCAGCATGATCAATTTTATCTAGGAGCATGTTAGAAATGCAGAATCTCAGACTCCATTACAGACCTGCCCAATCAGAATCTGCATTTTAATAAGAATTCCAGATGATTTGAAGGCACATTAAAGTTCAACAGCTGACTAGGATATAGCTGAAAACAAAGCAAAGCTCTCTAATGTATGTAAAGTCTAGGGTTATCATTCAATTCTTCATTATTACAGTGCTCACTTGCATAGTATATGATATCAAGGAGTGGGGAAAAAAGCAGGAGAGAGAAATTCCATTTAGTTTGAATATCAAAAGACAAATGCAATAATTTGACCTCAGTGTGGCATGTAGTGATAGGTCAGAGACAGTAAGTGGTAAATGGTTATTGGGGGTTGCAAGTCACAGAGGAATGAATTTACGTTAATGCTAATTCCAGTTAGGAATGTTTGATCTGAAATACCTCTCCTCTGAAGAGTGTCAATGCTTCTCCTTTGTTTAACCTGGGCGGAGGGGAAAACACATTTCTAATTGAGTTACAAAGGCCCAGGAATAGCAGTGATAGCTCAAAATAAACATTAAATGCTAATTCAAATATTTGTACGTAACAGGGATTGAAACTGAAATCACATTTGGTTAATTAGCCAGAGTCTTAAATCCTGAGTTTTATCACACCTAATAAATGAGACTTGAATGAATTGAAAGTCTGACATTACAGCTCATAAACTCTTACCTTCAAAACAATAGGCAATGTTAAACATCAGGGAAGTTAAATCAAAGCTTGGATTTGCTATTCCTCACATAACTTTGCATAGTCTGATGATTTTCTTTGACTGTATTGGCCTTGGTAAAATTTATTTGCTCATAATTATGGTTTCTTGGTTTCCATTTGTTCTTTCATCAAGCATTTAAAAAACTCCTTTTATGTGCCAGATAATGAACTAGGTCCTGGGCATACTAAACTGAATAAGGCCAGTACCTGACCTTTGGGGAGTGAGGAGGTGGGGAAGCATCCACACCATAGGTAAAAAATCCTTAACATGAGAAGTTATGAAGAGGAGGGACTAGTGGAAGGCTAGAAGGCCAGAGAAAATAAAATATACTGAAGAAATGTTTAATGTGTGTAACCTTTATCAATAAAAAAATGATTAATACTGAATGTGTCATCTGATCATTTCAGCAACCATGTGAAGTGATGTTAATCCACTTTTGCAAATGAAGAATCTGACCCTGAAGGAAGGTTAGAGACTTATTCAAGATTTTACAGGCAAGTGGTGGGACCCTGATGAGAAACCAAGTTCTCTAACACTAGAATTCCAAGTCTTATGCCTAGCTAGCCCACTACCCATGACTATTCTAAGTAATAACATATCTAGGACTAATATTCTAGAACAGTTTAGGATCTTCATCTAGAGAGCTATGAATATAGTCTTGCTGGGGGATATACCACCTGATGAATTGATTGATTGACTGATTGATTGCTTTTGGCTGGTGTGATCGTTTAGACAGGTCTCATCCTCTTGCTGCTCTTTGTCTACCCCTCTGAAAGCTGGCCCTTTGTTAAAAGATAACCTTCTAATCTTCAGTTAAAGATAGCTGAGTGTTTGAGTTCCACTGCTAGAATTTTTAATGTGCTTATTTTATTTAATGACTATTTATAGGGCATACATCTATTCCTTGCAAAGTATTATACTGGGGCTGTATGGAAGAACAAAATTTTTGATAACCGTTTACCCAGGACTACCCCAAATCAACTAGATCAGAATCCCTGGGAGTTGCACCCAGATATCAGTTGTTGTGAAACCTCCCCAGGTGATCTCCATGTGCGCCTAGAAGGGATGACCAAGTCCAGTGTAGTGTGAAATGGCTACAGCAATGACAACAGCCAATTGTTGGAGATAACTTATCATAGGCCCGGCAATATGCTAAGCTCTTTGGATAATCTCCTTTCATCTTCACAACAACCCACCAAAGAGAGTGTTATTGTCACCCATTATCTCCATTTTTCACAGGAGAGAAATGAGGCTTTCTCAGAGGCTCATTCATGTGTCCAAGGTCAGTGGTGAACCCCAAATTTCTGACTCCAGATTCCTGGTCCTAGCCACTAGATTACACTGTCTCCTACAATAAAGCTAAATAGAAGGGAGATTCTTTTGAGGACTATTTTCTAAAAGTTAGATATGGAAGACAGTTGGGGTAAATCTAGTTCAATACTTGAGTAAATGATTCTTTGTCCAGTGAAGAAAAAAGATAGAGTGAATAGACAAAGATAAAAAGTTAGCTCCTAATGAATTAAGGTCCTTTCAATTATCTCCTTTGAAATTGAGAAAAGTGTTTTGATGCAGACCTATGGATTAAAAAATATACTGAAGCAGCCCTGAGGACAGCACAGCCCATAGCTATCTGGAAAGAGGTCCCTGTAGCAGATCCCGAGGCAAATACATATGGGAGCATCCTATACAGAACGGAGTGGGAGGATGGAGTATTCAGTGGGGTTCTGGAACATCAGAAAAGTATGAGACCTGAGTTGCAGAGCCATGCACATCTCCAAGTTTCGTGCCAAGGAATTATCAATGCAGAAACATAGTCCGGCTGCTTCATGTTTGTCTGGTTTGAGGCACTATAGCATATTGGTTACCATATACACATAGCATAGAGCCTGAGCTAGGTTCAAATCTTGGCTCTAAAATAGAGTAATAATACTAATCCTATATGGTTATTGTGAGAATTACAAGATATACTCTGCCATATTGTGACTTATAATAAAGGAATATATATTTGGTCTTCATCCTTGTTTCGGGTATAGAGCTCCTAAAACTCTTGGGATTTCCTAAGTGATGAGAGCCATAAAGGTGTCTTTTGTTATGTTAATGAGGTGACTTTTGGAACTCACCTATGGATGGGGGCTGGTTGCCAGGAGAACCGACAATGTGATTAGAGAGTTGGAACTTTCAGTCCCATCCCCCAAACTCTGGAGGGGAGAGGGGCTGGAGATTGAGTTGAACCACCAATTAACGATGATTTAATCAATCATACCTATGCATTGAAGCCTCCATAAAAATCCAAAAGGACAGGATTTGGAGAGCTTCCAGGTTGGTGAACACAGGAAGATGTGGGGAGAGTGGCATGCTCTGAGGGGTCATGGAAGCTCTACACTCTTTCCCCATACCCTGTCCTATATGTCTGTTCCATCTGGCTGTTCCTGAGTTATATGCTTTTATAATAAACTGGTAATCTAATAAGTAAAATGTTTTTTTTTAACAGAGCCACTCTAACAAATTAATCAAACTCAAGGAGGGGTCATAGGAAACTCTGATTTATAGCCAGTCCATCAAAAGTACAGATAACAACCTGGACTTGTGACTAGTATCTGAAGTGGAGGGGTAGGATAGTCTTGAAGGACTGAACCCTTAACATGTGGGATTGATGCTATCTCCAGGTAGATAGTGTCAGAATTTAACTGAATTGTAGGACAAACAACTGGTGTGTGAGAATTGCTTGTTGGTGTGGGGGAGTCCCCCCCTCCTCCCAACACAGTGGAATTGGGTCCAGAAACCCTTTTATACTGTATATCTTGTAATGTATAAGGGTATAGTAATATGTTCTTAGATATTAGAATATTAGGCCTAGGATATCATAAGTCTCAATGTACTTTGATTGTTATTGCTTCTATTATTGTTCCATTAAATGAAAAACCAACATAACTAATAATAACAGAATAATTTCCTGTATTTTAGTTAAACCCAGAATTTCTGAGAAAGGTGATAAGATGTATCACTTGACAATTTTTTTTTGAAAAAAATCAGGAAATTCAGGGAAAATTGCATGAGTGTAGATATTACAACTAGACATATCAAGTGTGAAGGAGCAGAGCTTAGTGGTTTGGAGCACAGGTGCTGGAGTCACATGTCCTGCCAATTATTAACTTCATGACCTTGAATAAATCACTTGATGTCTCTGAACTTCAATTCTGTCATCTTCAAATTGGGAGTAATAAAAGCATTAAATAAATTAAGATTAAATGTGTTAATATTTGTAAAGCTCTTAGAACAGTGTCTTCTGTATAGTAAGTAGGATATAAGAGTGTATTGAATAAAATAAATATGATATAGAGATACAAGCTTGGCAGTATGCTTCAAGGGAAGACCTGGTTAATTCTGAATGAGTGATTCAGGACACTTTTCTTGATAGAAGTGGTATTTTAGGTGGCCTTGCACACTATTACTATAAGGTTTTTGCCTCATACTCCAGTATTTGGTGAGTTGGGATGGGTCTTTTTGGATAATTCTATTGCCTATACTGGATGTAAGCCTAAGTGACCTCCTTCTTAAATGGTAAGGCAAGGGAACTTGTCTCCATGATAAAGACAGACAAGTCCAGGCTTAAATACATGATAGAGATAAACACAAGCCAACTAGAAATTATTTGCCATAATGGCTGTAGAGGAGAGTATCTACCTTCCTCTGTCAACCAAGGCCCATGTCACCAACCCAGACCCTCTCAGGAAAGGGAAACTTGGCATTTTTACTCCTTCAGCTTTGTAAAAAGAAAGGAGATACTACAAAAATTACAGAATCTCATGGCCCTACCAATGTGTATCCTGGATTCTAACTCATTCTTGGGGAACCGGTGACAATGGGATACAGAGGGGAGTCTAAGCAGCCTTCAGAGGTCAACTTTCCCCTACTTTTGATTCTTTTGTTAATCTTATGAGCTTAACTCCAGTGGTCAGCTGGAGACAATGCTGAACCACTTAGGTGAGGAAGCAGATCAGTGGATTATCAAAAAACACCTCCATGACTAATTTTTAACAAGTCATATGTAGTCACATGATTTGAAAGTCTGGGCATCTAATTTATGCTAGCCAACGGGAATGCAGTGATGAGGGAAAAACGCACATGGGCTCAGCTTTCGGGAAGCAATTGAATAAATTTGACTTCATATTGTGCTGTGGTCAAATCAGTCAGAGGGCACTTAAAAAAACAAACAAGAATGCTGTAGAAGACCAAAATTGTCTCAGTCTAAAAAGAATTTCACCACAGAATAAATAATAATTACTGAAAACAAGATGAGAAAGATCATTTACAAAGTGAGAGAGGAAATTCAAGTTTTAATACAAATATATAATTTAAGCAAACAAACATAACTTCCTATCACAGACATGCTTGACAAAATTAAGTGTTTATAAACTCTTACATTTAGAAGACGTGTCGTCAGCATCCTTCTCAGAAAGTCTTATTTATGTCTTATTTTGTTGTAAATTATTGATAAATATAGAAAAGCTCTCAATCAACGTTGACAAGAAACGGAGCATGTACACTTCATCTTTCAAAAAGCCATTTTCCATCTGGCTAACATCTTCATTTATATTCCTGCAGTTACAAGATGTATATATTCTCGTTCCTTCAATTTCTTGTCTTGCTGAGAAGGAAGTTTTCAACAGAGCATTTGCTTTCTTCAAGTATATATATCCATAAATACAATTTTACCCCACATTTTTATAAGTATGTCAATGCAATTAAAATTTCCTAATTTTCATTTCCGCTGAGCTTTTGGTCTAACAGGGTCCAATTAGACTGGCAGATCATCCCCTTAGGCCATCACAAAAATCCCTTTTGATATGGCCCCCAAAAGCTTCTAAAATGGGTCAATACAGGAATTAATAGAGTGACCCCCAAGGGCATACTATACATTAGGATAAATTATCCGAGTTTCTATTTCCCCTTCCCATACCTTTTCACCAGACAAGCTTATACAAGATGTGTCAGCTAATAGCAGAGCCCAGATAACACAAGGTCGCCAATTTAAAATGCCCCAAATTTGCAACGAAACCTGTTCATTTTAACAATATTAGCCCTTTCGTTATTATATAAACCTCTTTTTACCACAAGGAAATTTAATAGCGAAAACTTTGTTTCCCTTTTTACAGATAAGTTAAAGTCCTAGATTGTGTCTAAAAGCACTTTCTCTCCTGCATTTTCTTCTTATTTCACTGAGTCTCAGTCAAAGGAGAACTCACTCAGGTGCATTGGTAGAGAAACGGGAGTTTCTTCTTCATCATTAGTGCCCTGATGAAGGCAAACATCTTTCCATTGAACGTAGAAGAGCTTTTTAACCCCTCCACATGGGCTTCTTCCAAGCAGGAAACTCCTGCACGTTCTTGTAAAGTTCCAGAGGGACCATAAGATATATACGAACATAACAGTGCCGACTCCACATTTCATCCACAAATACTCAGGACCCACATGACATTAGCAGCCTCTAAAACCTAAGCATATTCCCATAAACAAAAGCATTTTCCAAGTAAAAATGATGTCCCTAAAACACAAGATGTTATAAGACAGACTCATATTCTATTACAAATAATAGATAACTTCAAAGACCTTGTAATAACTCGTAGAATGACCAAGAAGGAAAAATAAGAGTTTAATAGAGAAAACCTTCTTGGTTTATTTAGCTTTTTCAGAATATCTGTCAATTTCTTGAGTCCAGTGCCAGTGAATTTAACCCTCATATGTGAGAAATCTCTCACTCAGAGATACTTGTGACACTCTACCTCTCATATTCTGAGGGTAACAACAAAACAAAAGAAAATAATAACAAAAAACATTGCCCTGCATGCATAAATTAGGAGAATTTTGTTAAAATATATATTTTGAGAAGATAAGGATGTAAGGAAATATT